CACCACCTTCATTCTCTTCATCATTTCCTGTTGGTGACTGGCACTGATGTTGAATTAAGATACAATTATCTATAAAGTATATATTTATTATAAAAATACTACTAAAGCCGGATTTACAATATGATGCTAGGCCAACGTAACGTCAATTTTTAATCAAAAGCGTAGGTGATTTGACCTTTTCACGCATGCTTCACGCTAGAGTTGAACCAGATTCAACTTCTGCGTCAACGTAACGTCAGGACTAGCGTCATATTGTAAATCCGGCTTAATACATAACATACATGTTTCTATTGTAGAGCCAACTTGGAAATAATTTATCATTGGTGTGTTTGAGTTACTGATGACAGAACCTTTGCTGTCTTGCTCATTTCCACTAGCACAGACAATGAGAACATCCTCAGAGGAATTTAGATTAAAAGTGAGTGCTGAATTGTTTAAATTCCGATTAAATGTAAAGTTGTACCCATATATATTTTCAAAATTGGGTGTAGATTTATTAAAATTGACTTTTATTACTGGTTCTCAAATTTGATCCAAATGTCAAAATGTTCTTTTACTAATGTTCCACTCTACTGCTCCAGTACTTGTGGTACAGTTACAATTTACTGTATTTCCAGCACATACAGTCTCACACTAAAGACAGTGACAACTCCAACTACATATTGCATATATTGTACACAGTATTCACTTTACTGCAGCTCTTACCTGCCAACCAAGTGTGGAGTAGAAATAACAAAGGAGAGTCCCTTATATTTACAATATAATTCATGGTGATGACATGTCAATAATTACTATTATTAATAAATGAGAGTAATACTAGATTTACACAAAAATAATTTTAAAAGACAAAGGCTATATTAGTAACGCGGTAGCGTTACTAAGTAGGATTCACCCCCAAACAAAATGGCTGCCACGACTTTTGCACTAGCCATTAGGGAGAGATTGTTACCATCCCGTAAACTATCCGTCAACGGACTTTTACAGGCTTCGCCTGTATACTATACTGGGGCGAAGCCCCAGTATACTACCTTATAACAATATAGAAATTAAGTATAGATACGACAATCAGGGGGCTGAGGCAGCAGGATCGTGGTGGCTCAGTGGGGAAAGCGTGGGGCAGAATGTGGACGTGGTACTGGTTCGAATCCAGCTCAGGGCAGGGCAAATTGCTTTCTCTTTTTTTTTACTTTCAAAAATTTAACTTTTTTTACCTTTTCTACTTAGCCTTCTCCCCTAGTTATGTTAGTCCCCTAGTTAGCTATTGTTTTTTTGGACTTAGCTATTGTTTTTAGGGTTTAGGGGTTAGGGTGGCGGTTTTTTTTTTTAGAGCGTCCCTACTCAATTTAGGAGCCCCTTAGTTGGTTTAGGGTTTAGTTTTTTTTATTTCAGAGAGTCCCAAGGCTTTAAAAGTCCCTAGAGCAGTCCTGACAAAAACTAACTTCCATTTTGCACCGATGCGCATGCGCACAAACTTGTTTTACGGACATTTACGGGATGGTAACAATCTCTCCCTAACGGCTTTTACTTTTGCAGCCTTGCTATACCGGGAAAACGAGCTCTTATGCTTACCAGACTTCTTAGAGGACCTTATCTTGACCAGAGGACTCCAATGGTACCACTAGCGTGGCTCTAGACCTTTTCTGAGAGAAAAATCAAAAATCTGCAAACCGGCCGTTTTGTTCAGCCACCTTTTTTCATCTTCATCATCATCATCATCATGATCTCCTGTCAATCCAGTTGTCGGTCGATATATCAGTCTTACCTGGTGATAGAAGGCTAATTCTTATACCATTCTACTCCAACAGGGTATGCGCAGGTCCTTGTCCCCTAGAATCATTCTCCAAGAAAGGAAGAAGTGATACTCACTGTGACTGTTGGATCGCACCAGCTTACCTCATGCCGCCATTTTGTTAATTAAGAAGCATGTGCTCCAAGAAATTGGGCGTGGTCGCGCATGCTCAGATCTCAGAACTGGGAACAGCAAGTATTTTTACCTAGCTAGGCTAGCTATGCTTGGAATCAAATTGCAATACTTAGTGGAGGTTTCCAGCTAAGAGAAGGTATTAATCTTGCATATATCAAGTGTGTAATGAATTATTTTATTTCAAAAACACAAAACAAGTAATATTTATAATACTAGTGATAATATATTAATATGAACTTGACAACAGGCCAGAACCTGCAGGAATAGCTACAGGATTACTGGGAAGATAGAGCTTCTTGAACAATGATTCACATCAAGACTATAGTATTTATTTCACTTGTCATCAGATTAGTAGATATTGCTCCACCATATCTATTCAATTCAATCAGTGCTGTTCCTCATAAATGCTGTAAAATCATAACAATGACAACAATAATAAAGAAACTTATTGTTTGTGTAAAATCAAAAAGTATCACAATTGTAACTGAAAAAATATAAATATTATTAAAAAAATTAACACAAACAAGAACATAAAAAATTAAAAAAACAAGATTGAGT